CACACATATATTCATTGTCACTTTTTTTTTCACTATGAGCTACCACAAGATCTTGTATATATTTCCCTGTGCTATACAGTATAATCTTGTTTATCTATTCTGCATTTTAAAATCCCAGTCTGTCCCTTCTCACCCCCCACCCCCTTAGCAACCACAAGTTTGTATCTATGTGTCTATGAGTCTGTTTCTGTTTTGTATTTATGTTTTGTTTTTCTTAGATTCCTCATATGAGCGATCTCATATGGTATTTTTCTTTCTCTTTCTGGCTTACTTCACTTAGAATGACATTCTCCAGGAACATCCATGTTGCTGCAAATGGCGTTATGTTGTTGGTTTTTGTGGCTGAATAGTATTCCATCGTATAAATGTACCACATCTTCTTTATTTAGTCATCTGTTGATGGACATTTAGGCTATTTCCATGTCTTGGCCATTGTAAATAGTGCTGCTATGAACATTGGGGTACAGGTGTCTTTTTGAAGTACGATTCCTTCTGGATATATGCCCAGGAGTGTGATTACTGGGTCATATGGTAAGTCTGTTCAGAAGGGACTAGAATTTAACCAAAACATGTAGATCTATAGAACAAAGGCTTATTGAAAGAGTTACAAAGGAGCACAGCACTAAGATTGTGTGTGTGTGTTTGTGTGTGATGTGTAACACAAGGGCAGAAGGAGGGAGGATGAAAGAGCAGAATGGCCTTGTGTGGGCAGGTAGAGGTGTGACTTGAAACACCTATGACCAGACACACACCTAGCAGGTTTGAAGCCTGAGATTAACACACATGCTCCCTGTTACCCATCACCTAGTATTTCCTCAAGGTTGAGCTGTATTGGTATTCAGCCTCCCACACTTCTTTCTGTCATCTCCTACTCTAATTATTAAAAGATTAAGTTCTCCAGAGTAAGTGGCAGAATTGCTTCAGATGCAGTTTCTTTTGGCTAGGACCAAATATGTAACATTACAGATAGCAGTAGGAATCCAGTAATTAACTTAAAAACGAGTCAACATTCAAGATATACGCAAAAGTTCCTAAGGCTGTAGGCCGTATTCCTAACAGGGCTTTAATAGCTACAAGCAAGCTTCTGGTCCTGCTCCCTTGCACTTTAGCAGAAGGATCTTTCCTTAGCTGATAGGCATTAACTGAGCACCTATTGATGAATAGGAAGGATACCTGGATTAAGAGAAGCTGACCTTAGTAAGTTCACAGATCTTAGTTTACAGGCTGGTTAGGAAGGAATATTAACATACCTTGGGCAGTAGGTGCCTGCTGTATATATGGACTGATTGTGTCCCCACAAAATTTGTGTTTTGAAACTGAAACCCCAGTGTGATGGCATTTGGAGGTGATGGCCTTTGGGAGGTGATTAGGTCATGAGAGTGAAGCCCTCATGAATGGGATTAGTATGGTTATAAAAGAGGCCCCCTGCCGCTTGTGCCGTGTCAGGACACAATGGGTAGTCAGTCGTCTAGGAAGCAGGCTCTCACCAGACACCAATGTGCTGGTGCCTTGATCTTGGGCTTTCCAGTCTCCAAAACTGTGAGAAAGAAGTTTCTGTTGCTTGTAAGCCACCCAGTCTATGGGCTTCTGTTATCGTGGCCTGAATGGACCACAGTGGCACCTCTGTGATTCTATCCACAGGCTCCAAAACACGTGCAAGATGTGCTAGAAGGAAATGCGTGAGGTTCAGAGAAAGAAGAAAAGTTTTTGGAGGAGGTGAGCTATGAACTGATTCTAAATACAAAGCAATGAACTGTTTTTGTTTTAAAAATAGCTTTGGAATTTTTAATTATAAGACTAATAACTGTTTGTATTAGAAAATACAGGTTAGGAAAAAAAAAGTTTAAACTCCCAACTATCCCAACACCCAGAAGTAACTGTCGGGCGGGCATGACCCTGCAGCCCAGACCCCGTCTTTTTCCCGACCCCCTCCCCGCCCTGTCAACCATTCTGGTCTGATCTACTTCACACCGACAAAGCGTCCTCATTAGATTTCATTTCACAGAATGTTTTTACTGCTGCAGCAAGTTTGAAAACCACTGCTAAACACCAGGACCAGGTAAATCTCCCTGAATCCTGATTTCCTTGCATCACTCTCCTTCTGATCAACCGCCAAGGGCAACCTCCTTAGCTTCTGCTTCTTGGCCACCATCTATCTTTGCACCCTGGTTTCCCATCAACCGCCCCCTCCACCCCAAGACCCTGCTTCTAGAGTACGATGTGCACATTCCTACTCCCTATCTTTTGCTCACATCTTTCTGCTACATTATAGGCCCAGATCTTCTCTTCGAATATTTGCATTCAAACTCTATAACCTGAGTTTGTTTAGCTTTATTGGCCTATGACTCATAGCAATAGCAGCTCCCTACGTTGCCCCATCCGAGTGAAGCAAGATCTCTGAGGCCCTTCAAAGTCATACCCAGAAATTTCACCCCACGTGTTGTTTGACTGTTCCCACTCCAGCCACCTTTATGCCCCATGTTTGTGCTTCTAGCCAAGGCCACCCACTACTCCTTACGTGCCCTCCACAAATACTGTAATGTCTTTTCTCCTGATGGACCCAAGACTCAACCCTCGAGGTGCCAGCCTGTGTCCCCTGGAGTCCTCAAAGCACAGGTGCTAGGCCAGCCTCCACCCTCTGGACTCCAGGGGACACTATTTACAGCTCTATGACGCAGATCCTTCCTGAAAGCAGTTCTTAGGCATCTGCCCTCTTTCCACAGGCTCAGACCAGAGTCCTTCCCAGTCTCCCCCACAGAGGCACCCTTGACAATTTCTCATGCAAATACACATCTGAGAGCTGTTTGTCCGGCTGTACTTGGACGTACTCAGATATACTTGGATGTGTTCTAGTCTTGCTGGTGGAACTAGTTAAGGTTCAAATCAGGAACCCCATTACATTCCCTTTAAGACCATCAGACTCAGCACCAACCTTTATAAAATCTTTTTCTCAGGCTAAATAAACATACAAGCCTCTGTAGCAGTCATGGTTGTACAATTGATTTGGTAATTAATCATGTTTTTTCCTTATGATAATGCTCTGTTCTTTACTCAAATTGGTATTAAAATTTTTATTGTACCAGAAAAAATATTTTAAAGGAATATCTTTCTGATTCTGGGGATATTAAGCAACGAAGGATATTCCTCTTCTCTATCAGTCCTTAAGAACATAGGTGTGGCTTGAATATTTAAAAAGCATCAGCATTTCACCTTTATGTCTTGTGTCATCATTGTAAGGACTATGGTTTTCACTGCTTTGCGTTTATAACCATGCCTGGTAGTCAATAGGCACTCATATACCAGTTGGCTTTTTCATTTCAGGGAGGTTTAAGGTCATTATTTGTACCTTAAGATAGCAGAGGTAAAAAGACAAGACAAAATAAAACAGAAGTTATAAAAAAACATTTTCAGAAAGAATAACCATGGAAGAAAGTTTACGTCAGCATTTTGGTGATAGACTAAAAGATTCCTGAAGTTATCCTCCTTGTAGGCATTGCTTGAAAAGTCACACATTGAGTATCTCATTTGCCTATTCCATAAATGCGTATTAAGCACCTACTGTGTATCAAACAGACAACATCCATGCCCTCCAGAAACTTCCAGGTTAGTACAGAGAGCCAAAGACTAAGCTAGATCCTTTCAGACTGTGATAAGTACCTTGAAGGAAATAAACAGAATGGGAAGTAAGAATGCAGCTCTTTTGGATTAAATGCTCAAGGAAGACTTTCTGAGGAGGTGATATTTAAGCTGAAACAGATGGATGACAAGGCACCAACCACGGGCAAAGTCAGGAAAATAATGTTCCCAGGGACACTACATGCAGTCTCACAGGTTATGCACTGCTTATGAACTCCATTTACATGGACAACAATGGCACCCCCTAGAGTTGTGCAGTGCAGCAGCAGCTCAGAGTGTTCCAAGTATATGTGAGTCAATTCACTTGTATAGTTAATTTACTTTTCTCAAGTCAACTTGCACATCTATTGACAAGCACTTAGTCTATCTGGACGCAATGGCAATCAAATTTAACCATGTGCTGATTCAGACAAGTCAAGAAGATGACCCTCAGCAATTGCAGGCTGAAGTTGATGATCAGCTTATGACAATATGGTCTCCACTTCTGGAGATGTGAGAGTGAGCCTAGAAATTGACACAGTTTCTAAGTGGGAAAAGCTTGAGATTATTTCAGGCACCAATCCATTGTCTACTACAGTCATAATGCCGGGAAAAAGATGAGTAATTGCTGCCCAAGTTTAAATCTGGTTTTCTTGGTGAGAAATCCTTCCTCTTCAGGAATGATCAGATGTGGGATTTTGAAAATAGCCTTTATAATTAGAGACTACTATTAAAGGCATACCAAATTAACCATTCGACTCCATGGCATGGTGGTATCCCATAATGACAGGTTAATGGAGTCCATGCTTAACAAAAAAACAAAAGGGACCATTAGACTTCTAGTAAAGTCAACACTAGCTGTTTGCTGGCCACACATCCCCTGTTGAACTGACCTCAAGAGCAAATATACAGAGAAACTTTGAGGTTTAACGGATTTCACAGAAGGATTCAAAGGTAGCTTTCTCATCAACTTAAAATTAGGTAATGGAGACTTAAACAGAACTGATATGTTGACCTCAGGTTGCTCTGGAAATGAGACATCCAGAAACCGACGTCCTGTTCCCTGCGTCTCTCAGCTGATTCTACTTCCTCTCTGAACTGTGCTCATCAGTGTTGGAATCTGTCCAAGTCAGTTCTGAAGAGGAAGTTCCAGTCACTCCTCCCCCTATACTTCTGCGTGGAGAACCCAACAAGAGTTCAAGGGAGAGGGGAGCTGGCAGGAACACAGGGCAGGACGGGGCAGAAGTGGTGCTCCCAGGCAGGTGCTGAGAATAGAAAGTCGTGCACAACCAGGGGAAGGAAAAATGCTGGCCAGCTTTGGCAGGTGGGATTATCAAGGACTTCCAGTTGTGGGAAGCGGGATGGAGGTGTCCATCCACTAGTGCCAGATGGAGCAGGGTTATTCTGGGATATCTGATTCAAAATAAGTGAAAAGACAGGTCACGATTCAAGACCTAAACAGTGAGAATTCAAGAACTGTAGGCTCCACATAGCTACCTAGAGCATGCTTGCAATCTTTACTATGCATATGAATCACCTGGAATCTGCCTAAAAATGCAGATTCTGATTCAGTAAGTCCGGGATTCTGCGTTTCTAATGAGCTCTCAAGTGATGTCAGTGTTGCTGCTTTATACATCACAGTTGGATACAGGGGCTCCAGTACAGGGCAAGGTCCCGCCTCTTTTTTTCTCCTAAACTTCAGGGTCCCAATGGGGAGGCCTGGAGATTGGACAATAACACCACCATTGCCCAGCAACATTCCTGACAAGATGCAGCAGCACAGGGACTGGGAGCAGTCAGAGCCCTTTCATGAATTCCATGAGCAACTGGCTGAGGCTCAGAGCAGAAAGAGCCTGAATCAATGGGCATAAGAACATGGACAAATTATAAACAAAGGTGGGTTATATTAGTGAATCAAAGGGAAAGCCTTAAAAATCTCTGTCCTTTTTAATGCCTCAAATAAAGGATGCTCATCACTCCCGCTGTGGTTTGTGCTCTGACTGAGTTCTCTCAGCAGAGTAAAAGTTGTCTAAGTACATTGAACAAACACTGACGCAGGCCAGAGGATGGGGTTTATGGGTTATTTCTCTTTCATACTAACCTTCTAGGGAAATGCAAAGGAAAGATTTCTTCCAGGGCCACATTCCTGGGCTCTAAATTGGATGCCATGATGGTTAGTGTGTGGACTTGGCTAGATTATAGCACCCCGTTGTTCAATGAAATAACAGTCTAGGTGTTGTTGTGAAGGTATTTCGTAGAAGTAGTTGACGTCTACAATCAGTTGACATTACATAAAGGAAATTATTCTTGATCGTCTTGATTGTCAATCACTTGAAAGGTCTTAAAAGCAAAACTGAGGTTTCTCTGAAGTAGAAATTCCACCCATTAAGTGCAGCTTCATCTCCTGCCAGAGAGTTTCCAGCCCCTCTCTCTGCCAGTCCCCACAATCATGTAGGCTAATTGCTTTAAATAAATCTTGTTCTATATCCATTTGATCTTCACTATTCACAGATTCTGAATTTTTGAATTTGCCTACTTGCTAGAATTTATTATAAGCCCAAAATTAATACCCGTGGTGCCTCCACTGTCATTCACAGAGATGCGCAGAGGGGTGAAAAATATGTCACCTAGAGCACACGTTGCCTTCTTGTCCAGCTCTCAGGCTGCAAACAAGTGTCCTTTACATGGTCTGTGTACTGCCATGATTTTCATACTTCTGTTCTTCTTGTTGGTGATTTTGCTGTTTACAATGGCCTCTAAGCATAGCGCTGAAGTGCTGTCTAGTGTTCTTAATGCCAGAAGGCCGTGATTTGCCTTGTGAGAAAATACGTGTTAGAGAAGCTTTATTCAGGCATGCGTTATAGTGCTGTTGGCTGTGAGTTTGATGTTAATGAATCAACAATGTATATTCAGTCAGATGTCTTTAAACAGAAGTCCAGATAAAACAAGGTTGTATTTTCATCGGTTGATGAAAATGTTGTGACTAGAAGTTCACAGGAGCCTAACCCTGTATTTCCCCTAGGAGCAATGGCTAAGTATTTGCTAATTCAGTGTTTATGGCAACTTTATGGAATGTAACTACCATGAGTAGTGAGAATTGACTCTGTGTGTGTGTGTGTGTGTGTGTGTGTGTGTGCACGCACGCACGCGCATGTGCACGTGCCCTACTGGCTCTGTATCTCTGGAGGCACCCTGACTGATGCAGGTGTGATTATCACCCTTTCCTTTAGGGCTAGCTGTGCAAGGCACAGCAGGTGAGGGTCTTCTGTCCTTTCTGCATTCAGATCTCTGGCAATATTCTGCAGAAGGAAGAAAGGGGTTCATGCATAAACCATCTAGTGAATGTTAATAGTCCCCTTTTAAAAGCAAAGCTTTTCTCTTACTAGTCGATACTTAAGGACACAAAATATACACAAGCCCTATAATTTAGACGTTACTTCATCTCCCTGATAAAGTGAGAAGTAGGCTAGATTAGGTAATAACTGGAATCCATTTCAGCATTTTTAATGTAATTTGGATGATGAGCCCCAAATTACTTTTCCAATATAAACCAATCAAGTCTATTCCAGTTTGAGTGACTTTACCAAAAATAAACTTCTTTATGAATGCATAAAAAAGAGAATTAGACTGTCTCCAAGGCATTGGGCCTCTTCCCCAAAGTGGAGAGAAGCCAGCATGTCTCAGAGTGACATGGAAGTGACATGGAAGCACCAATTTAACAACCCACTGCCCTTCCTCTCCTCACCCAACTGGTCAGTTTTAGTCTTCTCAGAGGCTGTGGTTATGAGTCTAGCTTGCCTGGTCCACAGCTGCAGGCTCCACTGCTGAATTATAAATTTGTCATCCTCCATGTCACACTGTCTGATGTAGGAGGGACTGGCAAAAAGGGGTAATGTCTTAGGTCAAATCCCACCCCGCTCCTGGTGCATCAAGCAAGCTCATGCCCTCTGTGGTGGGTCAACAGTGCCGCTCTGTGGGGACCAGGCACTTTCCTCCACGTGCCTCCCCACCTCTGAATGAGGCTTGAAAAGACTTCCATATAACTCTCTTTTTCCTTGAAGAACATGTCACAGCTAAGACTGAGCACCATGCATCAGCTACCATTGATCCTGAAATAAAATACTGTTTAGACAAAAAAAAACCCAAAAAGCTTCTTTCATGCACAGCTTCAAGGATATCAGAACACCATCCACTTCTCAGACTATCCATCACGTAATTCAAGTGTCAGAAATTGTTCAGCGTAAACAGAGGAAGGGGAAAGCATAATATGGTGTGAAAATTTTTTGGTATTCAAGTGTTTCCCTTTTAATGTTTAGCAATTTCCATGACATGACTAGTGTTCTAAGCTGTTAAATGGTAGCATGGGAGCTGACTTGCCCTGTGACTACTAAATTGACACACTAAATAAGAATGATATACTAAATAAAGTTGAAATGAATGTCATCCTTCCACCAAGTGAAAAAATTGTAGAAATACCTGTAGTAGACAAAGTGATTGAGTCAAATAATTTTGACCAGAAAAAAAAATGTCTAAATGTCTAGACAGGACTAACTCTTATGCAATTTGGCATATAGGGTCCATCTCTCCCTGTGGCTCTGGGTCCCGCATTTTCACACCTGACTGGTCACCTCCCCTCCCGCACACCAGGTGTCAGGTGCTCTTTCCCCTGTTCTCAGCTGGTTGCTCCCTTTAAAAGAATTCAATTAAGTCAGGGGTTGGAAACTACAGCCCACAGGCCAAATGCAGCCCACCTCCTGTTTTTGTAAATGAAATTTTATAGAAACCCAGCCATGCTCATTCCTTCTGTACCATCAATGGCTGCCTCCACCCTATAGTGACAGAGTTGAGTAGCTACAACAGAGACCCGATGGCTCATAAAGTGTAAAATATTTACTATCTGATCCTTTACCAGTCTGCTGGTCCCTGAAATCAAGTCCTTCACACAAAGGTATTACAGTTTTGATATGTTACTTCTCCAGGAGAAGAAATCCATTACTTGGATTTTAATAGGTGGTAACTTCTTAATTTGAAGAAAGTAATGGCTAACAGCAGGATTTAGGTCATCAGCAGTGGGATACTCAGGAGATATTTTGGGTTGGGGGAATTTCTTAAGTTCAATGACTACCTATTCCATCTACCCATCAACCCAGTTGGAGGGCCACCTACTGAGAATTTTGATAAAGTTGGGAGGTATGGCTGGTTTGGAGAAAGACTCAAAAGAGAGGTCAGTCTGAAAGGAGTTTGGGATGGCTGCAGATGGCATTCTGGAGCGGGAAACACACAACCCAAGAGATTGTCATTTGTCTCAGTCTGATTCAAATGTTTATTCTTATCACTTATAAACTAACAAAAATATTTTGAGGTCCATTTAAAGAGTCAGATTCCTGACTTTGGTTGTCCCCTAAACTTTGGCCTTTTTACTTTTCGCAGATATCTAACTTCACAAAAATAAATCTTTTTTATGGCACAGAGAAGATTTTCTCTCTGAAGTTCCCATGAGCAGTGTTATTTATCTATGAAGAAGTCTCCTCCCACAAAGCAGCAGCAGTGAGCTCGTGGTACAGCCTGGCTTCCAGAGCACAGAGGCTGGATTTTCATCGACATTCTTAGGCAGACTTCACAAGACTTTGAAGTGGCCGCTGTACGAAACGGGAGCAAGAATATCCAGTTTCCCAACTCGAGGTGATGCCTGGGAGTGATGATCACTCCTAACATTCATGTTTGTCCAGGATATTACATCCCAAAATGTTCTCCAAAAAATTCTCTTGTTTAATCCTCAGGACAATTGTTAACATGAAAATTGTCACCCCCTTTTTGCAGGCAAGGAAACGAAGGATCTGAAGGGTTAAATGACTCACTTCAGATCAAACAGCTGTTGGAGGAGAAATTCAGACGAAAAAGTCAAGTCTTCAGAGTCCTCTCAGGGTAGAAGGTTTATTCTCTGAGCCCATGTTGGAGGGAACCTAGGGCATCATCAAAAGCAGCTACACCAGTGTAGTCATTCATGGAACTCTTAAAGGTCAAGGTTTCGTCGCTGTTCAGGTACAAGAGTGGTAAGTGGCAACCTAAAGAGGTATGGGCTGCTTTCAGGTGTCCCCATGAGCTACCCAGGATAAGTACCAGAATGTCATCACATATGGTTCCTGGACCCTCCTGGGATGGTGCTCACATAGCACTAGCACTTCAGGGGGGGCTTTCTGCAAACTAGAAAAATGCAGACCAACTACACAAAGATGTTCCTTACTCCAGCTGACCCAGCCTTGGGCCAGGGCTCAGCTCAGTAAGCTGAGCAGGCTAGATCCAGCCCCTGCTCAAGTCCTTCATCTAGACAAGGCATCATTGTCCAGGCACAGGTGGTACAACCATCCTGTGTTCCACCCAGTTCAGAGAGCTTCCTTTACCAAGAGGGGATGCTAAAAAGAAAGATAACCTTCTTATTTTTTTTAATAGAGGTAGTAGGAGGCCTCCCAGGTCCTCATGCATGATAAGCATGCCCTCTACCACTGAGCTGTCCCTAACCCCTAAAAGATAACCTTCTTGAGAAGAACTGAATCCATCCAGGACAGTAAACAATACACCATTTACGAAGAAGGTGACAGTTAGAGTCGAGACTCGGTATGGTTTGGGTAGTGATGACAATCTTTCTGAGCTGGAGAACTCGAGCTGGTCACAGTCCAGCTCATCTCACTTTTACCTGCTTCTCCCTCTTGGCTGAGCCCCTCTCCGTGTCCCACTCAAGCCTGTTTCTCCCATTAATTCATGTGCTGCTACACTGAATGGAAACATCCTTGAACTGGAGGGAACATATGGCTAGCAGAAGGGCGGAATTATTCTTTGCGAGCGGGTGGGTGGCCATCCCCTTCAGCGCATCTCTGTCACTCCATGACAGGCAACCCTGCTGGGATAGGACACCTCCTCCAAGACTACACATTTCCGAGAGGCCGACTGCCACCGGAACATGCTGGGTCTCTTCCCGTTCCTCCTCTAAATGTTCTTGGGAGCCCATAGCCTCCTCTTGGCCGTGGGGCAAAGTCCAGCTGAGCTCATTAATCACATTACAGCCACCTTTCCTGCTCAGAGATCAAAGGCAGCAAGAGCTCACAATCCTCTTTTGAATTGTGTTTTCATAGGATTTGAAGGAAGGCTTGATTCGAGAGCAAAATGGCAGCTCCAGCTAATCCTGGGAAAGACCAGTAAGGCCAACTCAGGGTGTAGCTACCAAGAAAGCAGGAGGAGAGGGAGCTGGGAGCCACTTCTCTTCATGTGCCGAAACCAGGTAGTACTGAGAATAAGATGATACAGCAGGAGTAGAAATGGAACCTCAGACTAAGAGGTTCAGTTTACACTGAACACATTCAGTTGAAAAGTGCCCTGCCTTGCATTTATCCAGTGTGCCAAGAAGGGTCACTGAAATCATGTCCAGTCTCGTTCTGATAATTACTACCACCGTGGTCCACATAAAAATGTTTGAGCAAGTGGATATGCTTCAACGACTTCCTGTCTCCTTTTCTATACCCCTCCCTTTAAAGTTCTATGTTCTACCAAATTCAGATTTGGGTTTTAATTATTCTGTTATAGGGTTTGGGGTGTAGTTATTATTTTCATGATGTAATATTATATGGTGAATATAGTGGCCCTGGATCATCACCATCAACTTTTGACAAATAATGAGGTGTCTAGAGAACTTTGACATTCTCCTGTGTTTTCCGGAGTATATCCTACTCCAGGTTAGAGTATGCCTTTGCTGTATTTACCTGCATCCGTCCAGCCAAGATTATGTAGGTAAAATATAGCTGAAGTATGTTTTCTGATGACATAAGAGTCTGTTAAAACAATTTATAAGAGGGTTATGGTTTTTGAAAATGATTACACAGAAACCAGCCTTTTGATATTATGTATAAACAGAGTTAAGTCACCAATGGGAGTACACTTTACTCCCCTTCCTGTGGTAAGTGATAGCAGTGCCATAATGCTGAAACTGTAGGGCAGACGAGCTGGTAATATTCAGCTAATCCAGCAGCATGCTATGAATCAGGGACTATATTAGCAAACAGCCATTACTAGAACATCATTGACTGGCATAGCGCCAAGATATGCTGAGCAGAGAATTTTGGCAAGGTTGCTGCTTTATAGCCAACCAAAGATAAACTAGAATTTATTGATGTGCTATTGCACAGCACAAAATCCTAGGTAGGAAAAATAGATAAATGTGTGGTTCTGGAAAATATCAATACTAAGAGGAGATCTTAGTTCAGGCTGCTGTAGAGTACGTAAACTGGGATGCTTATAAACGGTAGAAATTTATTTCTCATAGTTCTAAAGTCTGGAAGTCTGAGATCAGGAGGCTAGCGTGATCAGGTCCTGGTGTGGGTCCTCTTCTGGGTTGCAGACTGTCGGCTTTTCCTTGTAACCTCACATGGTATTGAGCAGAGAGAGGAAGCATGTCTCATGACTCTTATAAAGGCACTAATCCCATTCATGAGGGCTCCATCCACATGACTTCATCGAATCCTAATTACCTCCCAAAGGCCCCACCTCCTAACACTATCACATTGAGGGGGTATGTTTTCAAGATATGAATTATGGGGGCGATGCAAACATTCAGGCCATAGGAGGGGGCATCAAGGAATATTAAAATATGGCAAACAAGGTTTTCTCTCTTCATCCCAAGTACACAACTGGACAAAGAGTAGGTGCTCAGAAAATAACTGTTAAGGTAAACCAAGTTATTTTTTTCTGTAAATAGTGTGATTATACATATACAAATTGAGTAATTTGTGTGATTTAGAGGCAGATCATATTTTGCTATCAATTTCTTTAAAAATATGTCAGCAATATTCTTAGCCAATAGGCCCTTTCCAGAAGAATGGGTTTATACCACCAAAAAGCCACCAATGGTGCAAAATTACCTAATTTTTACAATCACCAGGGAAGAGGCTTTTAATTTCCCACAATGGAAATACTAAGGAAAAAAAAAACCTCTCTCAAGGCATTTTTTTGATGTAGGGAGAATTTCAAGAAATAGTCAAACAGGGTAAAGGTTAGGGGGGCGTCCTGCCTAAGACTCGCTTCCTGCCATTCATACGGTTCCCACGCTTTCTCTCCTGCATAGATGCCTGCAGGACAGTCCTTTGCATGCGAACCCTGCCGGGTTCCAGGAAATGCTCCTGGCTGTGCTCTGTGGCCGGGTGTCCCACGCTGACAGGTCAGTGTACAAAAGCTGGGAGCAAACAACGGGGCCTCCGCTTTTGCTTTCAAGCTGTCTAGGGGAAAATGCTGACGTCTCTCGCTACCTCTCTTCCTGTCTCCGTCTTCCTGTTGATCTGTGTGTGCTTTCATAACTTCCCCACACATGACTCATTCTACTTCATCCCAAAAGAATAGCGAAAAGGAACAATGAATTCAGACAGCCCATTCGTACCAATTCAGGTGAGCCCTTCTTAATTAAGTCAGTCCAGAGTCAAAATCCCAGATTTAAAAAGATGATGGACAGATTATGAGGTGATTAGTCACACTAGAAACGGTTTTGGAACTTAGAAGGGTAAAGCTGGGAAGGAGTCTTAGAAATCGCTCATTGCACTCACCCTCTCATTTTGTAGCTGAGAAAACTGAGCCACAGAAGGAGAATGACCAGGCCAATGACCTCATCCCTAACTCATACTTTTCAGAAAGGAAAGTTTCGCCACAGGAATTTTCGTTTTTTAGAGCAATCAAAATATGATTTATTTTGAAAATATTTCTCTCATACACACATTCTTAGGAAAATACCTATGTAGAGTGAAGGACAACGGCTCTTGAAAGGGTGTGTGAATTTGAGCGGTACTACAGTTATATACGCGTTTCTAAACCCGAGGGTGATGAATCCTAGTCTACATCCGGAGCAGTTTTGTTTAGAAGCTTATGGATGTTTTTTATTGAATACATAGGGCTCAGTCATGAACACTTCACATCCTCCTCTTTCCTCATTCTTGTACTTCGGTCAATGGGCAGAATTTTCCATTTGTCCTGCTTGCATATAACAAAACACAAAACACACAGACTGGCAGTGACTCACTGTGGCACTGGTCACAGCAAAGTTCATGGTCCAGCAGCTATCAGGCCACTTCTCAGTTTACCACAAATCTAGTATAGTTAATTTTACAGAGGCAACAATATGCTTTTGTTTGTGCCTTCATGAAACCTGAGGTCTTTTCTTTTTTCTTTTCCCCCGGGTCCTGAACTATACTTATTCTTTTATTTAGTTTTTAAATTGTTTTTAATTGAAGTATAGTCAGTTGATGACACTGTGTTATCCAGAGCAGGTTTCCTACTCCCTATTAACAACTTATGTTTGGAATAAATACATATTATGAACAGAACCACCCAAACAGGTAGTTAATGAACATTCGTGGATTATATATTGACATAAATGTGTTTTTAAACTTTGAGAGGAGACAGAATGTTAACATCAAGGTCACCTCGTTTGCTCTTGATAACCTTGGTGGGCACCTTTCCGCTGCCTTCTTAGCACCCTCCCACATCATCTCTACAACTTGCCTGTGTGATTTTTCAGGTAGCATCTGTGTGAGCAACTAGTCATGTGCATGTCCACATGCGCACACACACACACACACACACTCACATGCACATATGATGCTTCTATGAACGAAAGCTGGTGCAGAACATTAACTCAATTCAATAGAAAAGAAAATGCTTTTTTCTTTCTTTTCTTAAAAGCTTGGTGCAGGCACCCTTCTTAGGGGCACGCTGTCAGTCTGGGCTTTTGTCCTGGTTGGCTCCTGGTTTTTTTAATGCTGCTGGAAGTGCCACTCCTATGAACGTGCTCCGCAGAGGCCACTTTGGCTTGCTGCCACCTGCCCTCACTGGATTAAGAAGCGTGGATCCATTGCTATTATGGAGCCTGAAGCAGAGCCAAGAAGAAATCTCAAAGGGCCCTCTCCCCAGACACGTGTGAGTAGAATAAAAATGAGACACAAATGACGGCACAAAGCCTCCAGCACTCTTGGGGCAAAGTAGGGGGTGGGGTGCTGTGTTGTAGGCTAGGAGGATGTTCTAGTTATTGGGAAAGAAATGAAATTAAAGCATGTTTTCCTTTACAGATGAAGATCCTTCAGACCTATTATCAACAGGGTGGCTCTTTTTCTGTTGTTTATCCTCAGAGAGGGAACTGGAACTATTAAAACAAAGGCACACATTCAAGGCTGGGCAGGGCTGAGTGGAGAAGTGTCTCCATGACTTTCTAGTTATCCAGAGTCCCCATCCTGATGATCAGATAACAGAGGAAGCAATTGAATATACTCATTTATACTAAAGTGTTAAAGACTTGATGTGTTACTTCTCCCAGAGGCACCTACGCTCCAGAGGTAATTACTTTCTAGAGGCCAGTGGAGGGCAAAGAATATTTAACATAAATGAATATACAGAACTAATGGTAGAAATTCAGGCACCAGCACTTTCAACTCACCCTACCCAGGAAACCATCTCTTAATACAAGAGTGGATCTAAATATATCTGTCTGATGCGGTGACAAGAAAAAAAGGGAGTGTCATGCGCAGCAAACCTAGAAGGGTAAGTCATGACGTCTGCTATTTTCCCTTCCTCCTTCCTTTACCAATCATTCTAGCCCTCAGAATGTTTCCTGCAATTTCATGCGTCCAGTGCCTTTTTGCCCCTGTGACTAAACCAGTTCTGAAGAATCAGCAAAGCCTGTCACATGTTTTATTAGCCAAGATAGACTCAGTGCTGAGTTCAGTGCAAAATAAAATTAGAGGTCAAAAACAATGCCATGGAACAGAATAAAATAGAAACAAACAAACAAACCCCAGGAGGAAATGTCAGGCCCCGCAAGAACTATACAAATAGCACGCAAAGGAGAGAGAATCATTACTGTTTTTAATGAGAAAGAAGGACACTTAAGCTAATGATGCTTGATTATTTTTCCTTTTTACTATGAGAGTAAGAAGAGAAAAAAATCCATTTGGTCGTATCAGGGTCAGAGAATTTACCAGATATTCGCCCACCAACAGCCTCTCAGTGCCTCTCGGTCATTCCTTCGGTTGCCTGCACCATCGCCTTTTGCTTTGGCTCTCTCTGCTTTGGCTCCAGCAAGACACTATCATGCGATTCTACTTCATTGTGGTGCCAGGGCAGGAGGAGTGGTCCATCCCAGGAGCAGGCCCTTGAGAGGTGCACAGCCTGGAGAAGACTTAAAGACAATCATAAAACCAGCAAAAAAGCCAGTCTGCTTTCTATTATTGCCATGGCAAGCTATTCTAAACAATGTCAGTAATAAACTGCTCTCTCCCCAACCAAAAAAAAAAAAAAAAAAAAACTTTCCTTAGTCTAGGTTCCAAACAATTGCTGCAATTGAGTTTTAACAACATAAATGTAAGCTTCAGTTTAGCACATTTTTTATTGCTTCTCCTTTAGTAAACGGCCTACATGGAAGTTGATTTGGAGGATTAACTGTGCATTTATTTTGAGAGTAAGTGCATAAGAAAGTTTGCTTTGGGCACAAGTGTCCTTCCTCTCTGGTCCTTCAAATCCCAGTATTCAAACAATTAATTCGAAATAAACAATGATAGCACAGTGATTGTAAAGACAACTGAACTAGAGTTATTTCAATACCATCATTCTGTGTGACCACTTAAGGTTTTTAGTTGTGTTTAAAGTTTCTGGGATTTATTATCAAATAGGATTTTCATGCATCCCTGCCAAATGTGTCCTCAAGTTGAAGACTTTTCCTATTTACTTAAACCGTTGCTTCATGTGAAAGAAATCTCCCAGAATTAAAATTAATGAAAAGTGTTCTTTGACCAAAGATGGATCGATGTGTCAGGAATATGGGAAGAGTAACAAGTTTGATGAAGTCATTGACAAATTTGCAGAAGTTAATTGCAAAAACAGAAACTGTAAAATTACTCTTCATGACTGTAAAAGACCAATAGGTAGGTCTAAGTTTTCATCTCTTTCTTCAAAATAACATTAATGAAATTGAAAGTATTACTTATAACCCTTCCTTCTTTTAGATTGTGACAGCTATTGTATTTTTATTTTTTTGTTGATATGATACAAAGTTTCATAAAAGAAAATACATTTTCTGGGGCTTATTATTGGTTTCATTGCATGATTATTACTAAAAATAATTCTGTCATATAGAAAGAAGGTGCACTCTGGGTGTCAAATATTAGCCCTAGCACCTCAACCTGTTACCCATTCTGTTTAGGGGCTCCCTGATTCTCTCCTTCCCACCCAGCCTCATTCCCACCCCTGCCTCCAACACCCCCACCCATCACGCCAAGAAAAGTAGATCAGATGTACTTAAAATCATTCATCCGTCCTCCCAGGTTCTTTCATCTTTCTCCTACTTTTTCATGTAAAGAAGGGAGTTAGGTTACAAAAGTAGGATTAAAACTCATTCCTCTACCCTTTCTTCCCGGTTGTTGCGAGCAGAGATGAACTGAAGACTGACCCTCCAGGAGCCACCTACCCACGTGAGTGAGGCTGGGGAGACCGTGGGAGGCAGGATGATTCAGCTAGCACAAGCCCTGCTGGACTCGGACCCCTGTGTCAAGGCATGTCCAGCCAGGAGCACTCAGGGGTTTTCCTCTCCAGAGGAGAGAGTCTGATGACCCAAGTCTTAGCACCCTCCTGATACCACAAGAACACTTGGTCCTGAGATGCAGCTTTCATCAGCACTGCCTGGAGCCCGCACCCCTCCTGCCCTGCACACCCAGGCCCCCAGCATCACCCTTAATCCTACAGAGAGAAGGGCGTTTACATTTCAATCCACATACATCTCCCTAGCCCCTTCCCAGCTCTGCGCAGCCTGCTGTCCCTAACTCTGAAAAATCAACTCAGAGCAAGAAGGAAAAGATTTCCCACCAAAAGTTTAGCACAAGATTATCATCACTCTCCAGTTCTCAAAATGTTCCTAAGTCATTTGATAGTGATTCGTTATGTCATTGTGTCACATTTCCTTCATGTTGATGATGGGGAAAAGTTATGATACTTATTTTTCATTTTTACTTAAAAAATATAATGAATTCCACTGATGACCTATTTCTGAAATCCACCAATCAAAGGAAATTGTAAAGTTCACCATAGTAACAGCTCAGTGTCAGTCACCCAAGTGAGAACTACACAGCTTAGAAGGCCCCGGCCAATTGCCGGGCAGAGCAGTGTTACCATCTCATAGCAACCAAGAGATCTGCATGGCAACATCAGTTGCTATATAAAAGAAAAATTAGAAACAATATTCCGCCAGGGAGAAATAAAGGTATTAACTGTTAAGTCATACTTGAGTCACGGTTGTGAGGACCCATCCTAAAATATCCACCCAAATATAGCTCAGATAATACCTGTCAGATCCAAGTGTCCACATGCTAGGAACCCTCCACCTACCACCACCTGGAATGAACGAGGGGCAACTCTCTATAGAACAGACCGCTTCTGAATAGGAAGGGAGAGAGTCTTTGAATACTAGAAACTGTAAGGCCTATTAGGAGGATAAATTACACATGAATCATCACATTTAATCCAGTGAGGGAGGCAGGGCAGATAGCATTATTATCACTAAACTCCCCATCTCTCCCAACCCCAAATCTTTCTCCCCTTCCGGCTCCCCCTCCGCTTTCCCATCTCCACTAATGGCAACACAATTCTTCCAACTGTTCAGACCAAAAACCTGGGAGGCCTCTTCGACAGTTTTCTTTTTCATGCACAATCCAGTCCATCAGCAGACTATGTTTTTTCTGCTTTCAAGATATATCCGAAATCCAGTCACCTCCACAGCTACCCCTTCATCCAAACAACCATCATCTCTCGCCTGGAGGCAACAGCCTCCTAACCTGCGTCCCTGCTTTCACACCCTTGCCCACCCACAGTCTATTCTTAACACAGCAGCCAGAGTGACCCTTCCAAACATAAGGCCTTGGCTCATGACCCTCCTAGGACTTCCTCACAGTGAACCCAAGCCCTCGACATGACCAAGACTGCACACAACTTAGCTCCCTCTTATTTCCCTCTGCCCCCATATGCTGCTATTGTCTGCTTTCCTCACCTGCTCCAGCCACACTAGTCTCCCCACTCTTCTTCCAGCACATCAGGCTCCATCCTACCTCAGGGCCTTTGCACTAGCTACTTCTTTTGTTTGGAACATTCTCCCCAGCATGTACCCTCAGGGCTCACTCCCTCACTTCCTTCAAGTGTTCTCTCAAATGTCACCTTTTCAATGAACACTTGTCTGACCTATTTTAAAACTGGACTTTGTACCCACATCCTTTACCCATATCCTCTAACCCTTTTCTCTGGCACTGTGGGTACCTAGAACCATGCCTGGCACTTACTAAGCACTCGATAAATATCTGATTATGAATAAAGGAAGAACTGTTTTACAGGTAAAGTAATTGGGCTTAAGAAACTAAATGATTTACTCAGAGGCTCCAGAACATATTAGAGCCCAGACTTGAACTTAGGTTTGCCAATGACTCCCCAAAATGTTCCACCCATTCTACCACATTTTGGTTTCCTTTTCCAGATCTACCACCTCTTCTAATAAGTGCCTTGAACACATTAGTTCCCTGGAAAGGAAGAAGGACTGCTGGGCTGAGGGTGTGGCCACAGCAGGAGTGAAGAGTAGGGGTGAGCTGGCCCAGAGCCTGAGTGATGCCCGAGGGACACTTCCAGGTGAGTCAGAAAGTGGGCTGAGGCCATGTCAACTGGACTCTGCCAATGACACCCCACAGGTGATGACCTCCCCCATGAAGCCCCCTTCTTGGGGACAGACCATTCAGCACTCCTATCCCTTTATTCACTCAGGTCAAAAACAAGAATTTAAATGGAATTTTTAGTTTATAAAATGTTTAATCAATTCTTGCTAATGTATTCTCAAAGAGTCTCAGCGTTGTATTAAGTATACATTGCATGACTGGTTGAAAAAAAGTTTTAAATCCAGTCACCAAATGTTTTCTGGCCTATACAACAGTTTTGGGGTTTGTTTTTTAAACAGAAACCACCTAGTGTTACTGGATTATGTGGAATGGTTTTGATTAAAACTGTGCTGAAAACTGATAGTTTGCCCATATTTTCTGCCCCAATTCTGATAGTGGATGGTAAAGGGTGGAGGATGAGATAAGTGGGTTCTGGGGAGAGACCACCCAGAAGCAGGGCACAGAGAGGAATAAACTTAAAGCAGGAACATTTTTTCTATTGACAACTAGAAAATGCTGATATGGACACAAACACCGTCGGCAATCTTGTTGGGTACCTGTTAAAGAAAAAAAAATCGTGGCTCTTCCACCAAGAAACTAGAAACATGAAAGACGAGATCAAGAATAGTAGCTACCCCTTTTGGGGCAGTCACATCGTGGCAGGCATTTTGCTAAGTTACCTTCATACAGGTTTACTTTTTAACTTCTCAGAAGCCCTGGATGGAAGGAGTTACGTCCCTATTTTGCAGAGTCAGCTCAGAGATATGAAATGACTTGCCCAAGGTCACACAGCTAAACAGTGACAGAGCTGACCCACTTGCCTCCAAAGTCCTTGTTCTTAACTGTTACATAACATCTCTCTTCAATAAGATTAATTCATGTGATATAAATAAACATGGAAGAAAGAGAAAACTTGAAGGTGACATAAGGAAACATTAAAAAAAAAACACCAAAAAAAAACCCCTCAGCAAAATCACTGATCTATTTAAAGCATTCATGTAGAGAGAGTTAGTCAGGTGTATGAAGGCCCAGAAAGGGCCATGTCCTCAGTCCAGCTTCTCAGCTCAAAGGCAGCACCATCATCCCCTTCATTTAATGCCACAAAGTTAGCTCAATACCAGTAGAAAAGGAAATGTCAATGCCTTGCTCAGAAAGGTTCGCATTGCCAGAGGTTGTGGAACACAAATTATTCTGTAATCATTTCCCTGTTGGCATAAAACTCACAAATAAGACGTTTCACTACACCAACAGCCCGGATGGCCAGCTCTCCACGTAGTCAGGTATCAAGGGTGGGCACCAAAAGTGAATGGAATATGGGGGGCTGGAATGTTCCACTGAAACTGGTGGGGAGGAAGGGGTGGATTTGTGTTAAAGCGACCACTCCTGCATCACATTCTTTCTAGTATTTTGCCTCAGAAGCAAATCTAAACCTAAACAGACAAAAATAAAAGACCTATTACGGATTCCTTTGTTTTTTTTTTAATCTGGCCTAATTTTACTGCTGAATGTGAAGTCAACATGCTGTAGGGTCTGGCGTTCTGACATAGTCCAGGGCAGTTTCTACCCAGACTAAACTTTCTGACTGTTTAGCCTGAGAAGCAGACGTTCCTCTGTTAAAGGTAGTTGTAGCTGCATTACCTAATATCAGGATCACCTTTTAGCTCCTTTCTACATTTTTCAAGCAGCAGCAGCTCTCACCTTTGCAGTGAAGCCACCTTTGACCACCTGTACCTGAAAGTCCTTAGCGTTTGTTGTCTGGACCAGCCATTAGGAACTTGTGTATTTACAAATATTGTACAAGCCAAGATGCCCTAGTGGAAAGGGCCCTGGAATCAGACAGCTGGGAGCTCAAAATTCCTGCTCTGATATTTGCTGGTTGTGAGATTTCGGGCAAGTTACTTACCCTTTCTCTCTGCAGCTCTGTCATTATAAAATGAACACAACGACCCTGAACTGACGGAGTTTTTTTTAGTGAGGAGTAAATATTGGGAAAGGGCCTAGTATAGTGTCTGGAACATAGCAAGTGCTTGATTATTATTTTAAAAGCAAACTACATAAACAAATGAACCAAGAGTTGGCCAAAATGGGAATGTAGCATTCTAACTGCATCTCAATCCTTGCTGAACTATCCTAATTAATTACAGATGTATCCAGTTCTCAGGAGAGAACTGGAGTACAAACTGGAGTACATTTGGAAAAAACGACATACTCCCTCTACCCGAGTTTTGAGACCAGTTTGCTACACTTCCTTCGAAACTGAATGATGGTTTTCTTCTCAGCTGACGCAAGGACCAAATATCTCAATCTAGTAATATTAAATATTCAATTTAAGCTCAACATGTCTCTTCTAATCTTTACAACATTTGACCTCATCTCACCAAAGCCATGGTTACAGGCAGCAGCATCTTTGTCTCAGTCTCCACAGGTCTTTTGTTAACCTGTCTGTCCATAAACAGAAACTACCTGTTATAATCAAAATGTAGATTTCAGGCTATAAATCCTGTTTAAAGGCACAAGCCCAACCCTAGAGTGGGTTGGAATAGTCTTTTGACAGATGAAATCTCAATTTTAAATGACATAAAACAGAGCTATATGTTAGCCTCTCCCTCTTCCTCAGAGCGGCTGAATAAATTATTTGGCACAGCTCTCAGGTGAATTGGATGGATGCCCTCCAGGCACTGGAAATAGAAAGGCCAGTGTCTTCCCTGGTTCTCATGTGAGTTTATCATTAGGAACTTGGGACAGCTTTATGAAGCAGTTGGACCTGTTGTCTGATATTGTTGGAAAGCTGAGCATAAACAATGGAAGTGGGGGTTGGGAAACAGTAGTGCTGATCTGCAGGCCCTTTCAAGCCCTTGGCTACTAGGGTGGGGAGCAGGAGCCAGGTTTACTTGCTGGAGGGCCCAGTGAGCCCTGAAGGAAAAGAATGGAAAAGAGGACTTTGGAACTGAAGCAACCTTGGGGAATGGGGTCAAGGACCCAGATGCCTGAATTCTGCCCTGGGGGCACTGGCTGAGTGTTGGTGTGGAGGGATGCTTTTACATAATACACACTTAACGCTACCCAAACATCCTCTGAGCCAACTCTAGGGCTCTTGTTCCATGTTCCCCAGAGAGAGGCCTACTAGGGAATAGAAAAGATAAGTCTGTCCATTTGGGATGCTAATGAAAGAACCATTAGAAAGAAAATGCACCTTGAATCAGAGCAGCAGATTAAGTCTTCAGACAGCAAAGCAGGGATGGCCCCAGTGACAGCTGCAAGAAAACTTTGATGACTTCCAAGGAGAATCTGTAAGACACACTGCCCTTAGAGTCAGGCAAGAGGAACCATGCTTTGGAGGGCCCCATATGTCACAAACACAAAGAAAAAAATTTAACAAACACATGGACAGCTTTGTCACTCAGGCTCTGGGTTTCAGCTGTGATGCACTAAGACCCTAACATTAAACATATTCTCTCCTGACTTACTCTGTTCAGGCCCCGGGGAAACATTTCCCTGCATCTTTTGCCCTGCATCCAAATGCCATCACGGATAGTGGGTATTGCTGCTGTGGACTTCAGAGATGGATACTGCTTCAGAGGGTGGATAGGAGTTGAGTAGCTAAAGCACTTAGGTAAGCGAAGAGCACAAGTAACTTGCCCAGTCTTTCCTCTCAGCATGCATGGGATAGATTATTGCAGAACAAAGTACTATTTTGCTGAAAGACAGTTTTCTTGCTTTTTTTTTTTTTAATGTTCCAGTTTGTCATTCCAAGAGCAGCACATATTTTAGAATCTGTTACTTTGATTTAAAACATTTTTTAAAAGTTTAATTGAAGTATAGTTAATTTACAATGTTGTGTTAGTTTCTGGTGTACAACATAGTGATTCAGTTATATATATGTGTGTGTGTGTGTGTGTGTGTATATATCCCTTTTCCTATTCTTTTCCATTATAGGCTGTTACAAGATATTGAATATGTTCCCTGTGCTAAACAACAGTAGGACCTTGTTGTTTATCTATTTTATATGTAGTAGTTAGTATCTGCAAATCCCGAACTCCCATTTTATCCCTCCCCAATCCCTTTGCCCCTGGTAACCATAAGCTTGTTTTCCATGTCTGTTAATCTGGTTCTGTTTTATCTTTTTTTTTTTTTTAGATTCCACATGTAAGTGATATTATATGGTATTTTTCTTTTTTCTGGCTTACTTCAGTTAGTATGATAATTTCTGAGTCCATTCATGTTGCTGCAAATGACATTATTTCATTCATTTTATGGCTGAGGAATATTCCATTGTGTATATATACCAAAACTGCTTTATCCAACTTTCTGTCAATGGACATTTGGGTTGCTTCCATGACTATTGTAAATAGTGCTGCTATGAACACTGGGGTGCATGTGTCTTTTTGAAATAGAGTTTCCTCTGGATATATGTCCAGGAGTGGGATTGCTGGATCATACGGAAAGTCTTTTTTTTTAGTTTTTTAAGGAATCTCCATACTATTTTCCATAGTGGCTGCACAAATTACATAATTCCATTGATCCCATGAATGTTAGGCTGGCCCTGTCTGTGAGTGACCCAGGACCCAGCCACAGGAAGGAACAGGATGGGGACACTGGTGGCAGTGATTCTGCTGCCTGGGGATTCCTTAGCTTTGCATCTATCATCTTGTATGTTCTCTCCCAGAGGGTGTGGCCTGAAAAGGCCAGGGTTACCAAACACTGAAACTAAAATCACTGTCTTTGACAAACATTCTCTTATTTTAACATGGATCCTACCTGCTGGCCTCTTCCAACAGGTCAACTGAGGGAGCACATTTGATAGTTGACTTATTTGAGTAGCAGGAACATTTTCATATAGAACTTTCACTCTCCCCCCTTTTGAGGAATGATGGAACAGGAACCTCCAATTTCTCTCCCCACTACTTGCTGTTGCCGCCCAAGGGAGGAATGGCTGCTTCTTAAGGATGGTGGGGTAGCTGAATGTCATAATAGGAAAAATAGATTCTTTTTGCCCGCTCCTGTGTTTCCTGTCTCCATAGTAGGAATCCAGGAAGGGCCTCTCACAAGGGGAGGCCAACCATCCTCCTTCCCTCCCTGTTCAGCCCTGGCTGGGTCAGTGAGAGAACTTTTGACCCCCACAGCTGGTAGGTTAGTGGTTGGAATCTGCACTGCAGATCTAGTCATGGGCCTCTAGTCACACTTGACACCTGACTTGATGACTCAGCATCAGAAACAGAAGATCATAGGTCCAAGTTATAAAAATCTCTGTTTTTTGAAGTTGGGGCCCACTAACTCAGAGAGGATGTAGAAGACTAGGTCTCTTGTGTTTCAGTCTAAGGTGACCAGCTCTGGGTTGGCAGACAGCCCTTCTCCACATAGTCATTTGAGGGCTCAGGCTGGCAGTGCCTCTGTCATTTTCAGCCCGTGGCTTCCAAGGCTGTTCTAGTCAATCCACCCAGAAGGGAGAAGAGTGAATTTTGTATTTAACATCTTGTACTAAACTTTCAGTCAAGTCTTACCCCAAATTGCAGCCTTGTTTCAGCTGTGATTTGGGGAATTCAGGGGAAGAGCCTGCATCAGGCTTGGGATGGAGTAGGAAAGAAGAAAATGTAACTTCCCTCCCAGTGCTGCAGGTAGAGGCTGGCTGGGGTGTGGTGGCTCTGCGAGGTGGCTAGAGGAGAAGCTATTGGTTCTATTTCTAAAAACACACAAGCTCACACTCTTAGGGCCCCTAAGAAATATCTGGGAGTATTTGATGGGGTTAACTTCCCATGACGCCTGGCAGAGGCTCAAAGCTATTATAAAGTGGGTGTCAAATGTGACTCAGTTTTGTGGCCCCAACTACAAAGGTCAATACATATAGGTCAAATGAGCGTTTCTGTTCCAGTTGACTTTAGTTGCTTAAATTCATTTATTCATGTTTATGGAGCACCTACTCTGTACGAAGCACTCACTGTTCTAGGCACTAAGTATAAAAGAGTTAAAAAAAAAAGGCAAATCTGACTTTATGAAAAAGTCTCTGGCCACAGAGGGGAAAACCACATTGCAAGGTACATTGTATATCTCTTATGTCCTAATCAGGAATAGAGAGAATTATCAATATTTGAATTTTTAAAGCTATGATTTAAATATGCTTTTGCTAAATTATAAGGAAATCTGATCCAGTCCATAAGAATTAGAATGATATAGTAGATGTGGCACATCAGGAGGATTTAGGAGTATATCTTCACCCTAGAATAACTTTCTGAAAAGTGAAAAGGCCCTCTAAAGATTTTTAGCTCTTCCGTACCCTAACCCCCTGTAGTAACCATTGAGATTTCCTCTTGGCTCTTGGCCAAAATCTAAATACTATCTTGGCCACTCACATCTGAAAAAAACAGAACAATGAAGTCCTAGAAACAGACAGTCTTTAGATATTTCTTTTGAAAAGAACACTAAATAGAGCATCTAAATCTTCTAACTGCCATTGCTAACGTAGTCTGTGTAAAAATACAATAGTGAAGAGGCAAGGACCAGAAAGTTCCAAGTTGTCAAACATTGGCAAGATACTACAAATCATCGCTCTTAAAAAATGTGGCTGTCAGAGCCTGTGATCCTGATTACCAAGACATCTGTGACTAAATAATGCTGGTTATGGAAATTGCTGAAAAGTTATAAATAAATGTTAAATAATACAGTACAGCTCATTCCCCAGGTGTTGTTTCTCTTCTCAAGTAAGGATCTACAAGAACCAAGTGTCAGCATGCAGCTTTGCTGTGGGTGTAAAGCTCTAGAGAGATTGTTCAGTCACATTTGCTTATGTACGTTTACTCTATCAGCCTCAGTAACATAATTATTTCTTGCTTTGTTATTTCGTCTGTCCAATCTACATCAGTAGTCTGTTCTCATAAATAATTCAGCATCTGCCTGGGCATTTATTTGTAATATTATCTTACGTGATGTTATGTAGGAAGAGGGAGGCTAGTAATGCTTCTATATGGGGAAGTAACATTTCTTTCAATCTTTCATATTTGCGGAGTGGTTCTCTCACATCTTTGCCTGTGAATTTACACTGAACTTTCTCTTCCAGAAAGCCTGGTTTCATGCACTTATGCGTGCCGCAACATTTGATACAACTGAAACTTGATAAGAGGGTCCAGTCTAGTCAAGTATGGCTACAAAATGATCTACCACACATTTAGTGCCTGGTGAACCTGCATCTATTTATATATACAAACAGGAATTGAAGGAAGTGAATCACATCTGCATACACTATGGGGCAAGCGGAAACTTTTTTTCCCGCAGCAAAATAATGGTGATTAAATGCTGTCCCATTCTGAATTAATCTCACTTAATACCAAAAGAAAAAAAATATATATATAGTTAAAGATTAAGAATGTTGAGGATTTTATGAATGCAGAACACTGAATTTAACCTGAGTTTTTTTTCCAAACAGAATTTGAGATAACATTATTAAAATTTCTAGGACAAATTAGATCTCAGAGCCAGGTGTTCAAATTTGAGATTTGTAGATTTGTTGAAATCTTGCTGGCTTACCTCCTACAAGATATCCTACATATATTTGGAGCTATTGGGGAGTTCACCATAATTGCAACAGACATCCTCCAGTTTCTAAACAGAGTTAAGGAAGATAAACTTTGAAAACAGAAAGAAGTCCATTTTGAAGGAGTTATAGTTACACTTCTCTTGACTGCCAGTGACTGAATAAGAGTATACTTTTACTAAATTATGAAACCTACTGGGGTCCAGGTCAAGTGTTCACTCAGAGACCTTTACGCATGCTGTTCCCTCTGCTCTACCCCAACTTCCAACCTAATTTCAATTCACCCTTAGGATCTCAGCTTCCCTCACCTTAGAAGAGGTCAAGTGCCCCCCTTATATGCTCACATGGTACTCTCTATCTCCACTTTGTGTCACTATCTCCTCTTTGTTTTAGTGGTTGATTGCTGTCTGCTTCCCCCGACAAACATAAAGAAGCCTTAGGAGAGAAGAACCACGTCTCCCTTATTCACCACTTGCCAGCCATGTTCAAGATTGTTGTTCAATAAGGATTTGAATGGATAAATCAATGCATGTGAGTGAAAATAACAATATCATTTATATGCTTGCTTACTATATGTCAGGCTCTCTGCTGAGTATTTCAGGTGTGAAAATGAATGAATGAATGACCATCGAAAGTGAGTGCTAAGAATGTTAAAATTATCTGAAAGAATAGTAGATCTCATCTTAAACAAGTTATGTGTGAAGTCTTTTTGTTTACGTAAAATTTAGGGGAACGTTCCAAAGTCAGTATTACATCATCCACCTAACTTGCAAACCAGGGAGAAACAAATTTTATGGGTAAACTGCCAAGGGCAAAGCTTGGAAAAGACCATCCAGGATAAAAGAGTAAGGTGCCAGCCAGTAGTAGCCAGAAAAAAGAGAAGTTAGGAGGCCCAGAGTAAATGTACATTTTCCTCAGATTTTCAAAGAGGTCTGTGGACCCTAGAAGGGTTAAAAACTAGTGCTGCTTGTACTATTTTGTGAACTGCATTGTTCATTCAGTTCATCTTAATCATCTTATCGCATGATCAAATGTTCTTCTGCAATATCTTTTCAAGTGGCTACAAGAATTCTGTTGCATACCCTTGCCATTGTTTATTTAACTCTTCCTCTGAGATTGGGCAACCTAAACATTAGGTTACCTCCATTTTTTTGCTATTATCAATTCATAGCTAAATCTTTGCCCTTATCCTTATTTACTTGGAGTAAATTTAATATATTGAAGGGATCAAATTATAGGGGCCAGTGTTTCCAATTGTGTTTGAGAAGAAAATGGATTCACACCCAGGCCTGAGATCATATCCTTCCTTTAATTCACAGAGCACAAAGCTAACAACTTCAAAGCATTTAGCAGCATTAACAACACTTAGCATTTTAATCTACTTTCATTGAGTTGCTTTACCATTTCTTCATCTTGCCTCAATCAAAGCAGCAAAATGTTAGCAATGTTAAATTAAAAGAAATTCTAAAGGAGCCATCTGGGAATGGCAGGACCTTGGTCTATGGGACATTCTTTTCTTTGGAGGGGGGGAGTTAAGTAATTAAGTTTATTTATTTATTTTTAGAGGAAGTACTGGGAATTGAACCCAGGACCTTGGTATGCTAAGCATGCAGCTCTACCACTTGAGCTATACCCTCCCCCTCTATGGTATATTCTTGACTATGGATATTTAAAATACTTGTCATGATATTTCTTCTAACTCTGGAGAGTTTTTTAATGTGTGAAATTAAGTGATAATCTTACAAAGCAATCGTGGACCCCTCTGCTAAGAAAAATCTCTAGTTTTCTACACTAGTAAGAATTTTTAAATGTCAAAACAGAATACTTTGAATTTCTTACCTCCTAAAAGGCAAACCAGGCCGTTCGGTGGCTTGTGTGGTCCAAAGAGAAAAGAGGTTCTAAAATCAGTATGAAACCAGTCCTACTGTGACATAATAATGAATAGAATCACTGATTTCAGAAATAACAGAACTCAGGGTCTATGAGAAAGTCAACTTGGCTCACATTCCTAGAGAAGTGAAAGTTAATGCCAGAAACTATACATGAGGAATCACAATGTTTCCGCTAAATGAAACCTTATTGTGCAGGATGCTTTTCAGCAGTGGCCGTTCTTACAGGACAACTGCATCTCAGATACGAAACTACAGTACAGCTAACGAACCTCATTGAACGACTTTGTCTAGGATTGCTATTTTGTGATGCCAGGCCTTCTGGCATGTCAATCATTACCTTGAAAAGCTTTTTCAAATAACTGATCCCAATCTCTGAAAACACTAATAGATTCCCCAGTCTATAAAACTCTCCATCCCGTCTTTAATCTTTCAAACCTACATGTTGTCATAATGGATAAGACAAAGCCCTTAAGATGTATTTGGATCCCTTATAATAAAGATCAGATAATTAAGGGATCTGGGAAGGAAAAGCGCAAAAGACAAGAACTTGTCTCAACAGTTTTATCCCATTTTCGCATTTCTAACAAAATTTGGTTTCCAGAGATGATACCAGAAGAGGGAGAGAAGTGGCCTTAACAATACTCCTGTGGATTTTGAGGTTTTTATTTGTTTCTGTTGTTGTTCTGGGTTGTTTTGTTTCGTTTTACAAGTTTGAGGATTTAATTAATTGTTGTTCTTCCAAAATTGTAGTGTTTCTCCCTTTAGTCCATTGCAGCAAGTCACTGGCTATCATGTTTTGAACAACACTTAGCTCAGGTCAAATGCTTTATGAAATGGACACCACTCAAACTTGAAATGGAACATTAAGACCCACAAGGGCGCTAATGATCCTCCACTGATGCTTCTCAGGAGTTTTGCTTCTGGTCCACAGGGCTGCTCATTCTTCTTTACACATCTTTGACTACAGTACAGATACTTCGAAGATCCTCCCCTTGTATCCCTGAGATAAACTAAGTTCCTGAAACATTTGCTACAAAAATTAGTGCCACCCAAATAGTAGAGATTAAATCATCCCAGACTTCCAGCCAAATGGAAACTCCTCCCTCTGGTAGCTCAACAAAAAAAGGAATAGAAGCAACTTTTTACGCAAATGTAAAAATACCCATCAATTCCAGAACTGCTCACAACAGAGTCCCAGAAAGCTGTCTTGTTACTAAAAGATCCCAAATGAAAATATAAGAAAACAGGTTCAAACAAATAGGGTGAAGTTTCAACTTTTGGAGATTCTGGATTTGTTCACGGCATACTGTTCTCTCTTGGATTGGCACAGAAACTAAGGAAGATCTGACCTGGGAATCTCAAGAATGCTGTATCCGGCTCATGGATGCACTTGGCAGAGAGCACGAAACACAGGAAAGTTCTGTTGTCATGATCATGATCTCAATGTGGGAAGACTCAATGTTAGGTCAGGTGCCATGTTTGAAATCAAAAATAAAAAGTATGCTCCTCTGAGCTAATAGCATAGACCTGTATGGATCATGCCACACTCCAACCTAGAGAAACATGACCAGTTTAGTAGAACAGGAAGAGGTCTTTTTCCAAACATGTGGATGGAAGTAAAGGCATTCTTAGAGATGGGGTGGAGTCTCACAGAGGTGCAAACAAAGGCAATGTTTAGAATAGTGCATCCACATGCCAGGCACATCATACCTCCCCCAGCTCTGCAGACTCAATACATGTTTATTAACTTGAGTTAATATGCTTCTTAGTTCTAAAACGTAGTCCAGGGCCTCATTAGCTAGTCCACACAAGCCGTTGGGGAAGAAGGCCATTCTTAATACACCTCCATTTTATATTTGGAAAGCCAGAGACATTAAATGGTTAAGTGACATCCTCAGGTCACTGTTTGAGTTGGAGGCAGAGCCAAGATGATTGTCCTATGCACACCTACCAGCCACCACTGACCTGGTCAACCACTGACAAGGCCACTTGCTACTGAGGGAGGAACTCCACAATAAATGGAATTTGAAGTCTTCACTCAGAATTCTCAGGTCTCTCAACAGATGAAGAAATTTGAAATTAACTCAAAGTCTCCTAGGGGCTGGCTCAGGAAATTGGAACTTCCAAGTTCAAGTAAGAAGTTATGGAGGAAATCTCTTAAGATGGCACAAAGGGGGACTAACTGAGGCATGGCAAGGTCCCACAGAAAGGGCATGAGTGCTGGAGGCTCTGGATCCAACTCTGCCACCCACCAGCTGGGACCTGAAGCAATTTACTAACCTCTCCGAGCCTGTTTCCTCATCTATACAATGAAGATCGTAATCACCATCTTGCAGGGTTGATGTGGAAACTGAAGTTGTTATATAAGCCCCTAAGATGCAGACTGGTCCATAATAGGCACTGAAAGACAAGCCAACAAACAAAACGCTACTACAGCCATGATTCCACTAAGAATTGCAAGGTATCATCCATTTAGAGGACATGTGAAAGTTTCCAACAACTTGATGAAAGAAAATCTAAAATCATGAATAAGCACATGGACAGGGCATTCAATCTGCAGATCACAAAGATAATTTTTTCAGTAAGAGAAAAATGCTGTCCAGCAGCTTATGAGCAGATGTCATCCTGGACTGGTGCCCTTGACACAAGGCAGCCTGCCTTTCATTGTCTGTTCTCCTTCCTCTCTGTCT